TCTGTATAGATATATATCAATATATTTATATCTTATACTTAGTAAAACTCTCTTCTTTCCCTCCGTGTCTATTTTTGCAGCATCTATCCAAAGCAGAGATGCTTTCCGGGTCACATCACTGTGTTGGGCCTGAGCCACGAAGGGCAGCAGGGCTGGGGCTTCAGCTCCACCATCCTGGCATGGCTGAGGACTGAGGAAACTGACCACGTGGCAGCTCAGGCCCTAAAGTGCATTCCCACATCTGCTAGTGACGATCCTTAAGAAATTTTGAGTTGATGCTCTCCCTCAGACTGAACACGGCAGTTTTCTGAGCCTGTCTGGTGGTGGTCCGAGCAGAGCAGTTAAATTCTGCGTAGAAATTGGCCGCTTCTGCATCTGCCAGGGATCTGGCTGTTTTGTGAATGGAGGATGCCGGTCCTATGCAGGACCTTCTTATGCCTAATATTTTGGTGGCTAAAAATAAACTCGAAATGCTTGTAAAGCTGTATTTCTGATTGCCAGATCCAGGGTCACTGCTTAGTGAAGCCCTTGTCCATCAAGCCTATTCCTTTCCCTTTGTATTCAACTACAGTACAATAAGGAAGAACAGAAGCCTCTCTTATAAAAGCTTTGCAATTAGTCTGCAGAGTGCTAAACACAGCCTTAAACCATATCAGCAAACTTCAGAAACCATTTCCCAATGACACCACCTTTCTAGCCTCTCTTTTCTGAAGACTTGCATCTGCTTCCAGAATGCTTTTCCAAGCGCCTTTCTGAAGATCACCTTACATTTTGGTGAAACGTAGTCAACTGCACTTAGGCAGGAATCTAAAGGCAAAAAGACCCCGTGCAGGACTTCCCAGCTCTCCTCACCATGCAGCTAAAGGCTCTGGACAATCCAAGGAGCAGCTCTCAGCCTGTCTGCTGCTGCTCTTTGGTGGCCAACAGATTAAAAAAACACACCAGGGAATGTTTGTTTATGAAATATTATGATGACAATATGCCAAAATAGGTTTATTTAATATCTGCATGTTGGATATAATGATAGTGTAAATCTGCCTATGCAAATAGGATACATCTATATCTCTGAAAATACTGCCACAGAGCTGGTAAGGATTTTTATCCTGATTATACAGATGGGTAAATTGAGGCACGGAGAGGCAAAATTACCCGCTAGTAAACAGCAGATCAGCAGCAGAGTTGAAAATCGATCGTAGTCCTCATGTGCTGCTCCTTGAAATGCCCTGCCTGCCTGCTCTCCATGAAGCTTTTAAGGTTTATGTTCTCCTGAGGAGGCCTCAGGGGGCCTGGGGTGGGTTTGCTTGTGGGTTATATGTCATAGAATCACAGAATCACAGAATAGTAGGGGTTGGAAGGGACCTCTGTGGGTCATCTAGTCCAACCCCCCCGCCGAAGCAGGGTCACCTACAGCAGGCTGCACAGGACCTTGTCCAGGCGGGTCTTGAATATCTCCAGAGAAGGAGACTCCACAACCTCCCTGGGCAGCCTGTTCCAGTGCTCCGTCACCCTCAGAGGGAAGAAGTTCCTCCTCATGTTCAGACGGAACTTCCTGTGCCTCAGTTTGTGCCCATTGCCCCTTGTCCTGTCACTGGGCACCACTGAAAAGAGCTTGGCCCCATCCTCCTGACACCCACCCTTCAGATATTTGTAGGCATTTATAAGGTCCCCTCGCAGCCTTCTCTTCTTCAGGCTGAACAAGCCCAGTTCCCTCAACCTCTCCTCGTAGTGGAGATGCTCCAGTCCCCTCACCATCCTTGTAGCCCTCCGCTGGACTCTCTCCAGTAGCTCTTCATCCTTCTTGAACTGGGGAGCCCAGAACTGGACACAGTACTCCAGATGAGGCCTCACCAGGGTAGTGTAGAGGGGAAGGAGAACCTCCCTTGTCCTGCTGGCCACACTCTTCTTGATGCACCCCAGGATCCCATTGGCTTTCTTGGCAGCCAGGGCACACTGCTGGCTCATGGTTAACCTGTCGTCCACCAGGACACCCAGGTCCCTCTCTGCTCTCCAGCAGGTCCACCCCAAGCCTGTACTGGTGCATGAGGTTGTTCCTCCCCAGGTGCAGGACCCTGCACTTGCCCTTGTTGAACCTCATCAGGTTCCTCTCTGCCCAGCTTTCCAGCCTATCCAGGTCACGCTGAATGGCAGCACAGCCTTCTGGTGTATCTACCACACCTCCCAGTTTGGTGTCGTCAGCAAACTTGCTGAGGGTACATTCTAACTCTTCATCCAGGTCGTTGATGAAGAAGTTAAACAAGACTGGGCCCAGTACTGACCCCTGAGGGACACCACTTGTCACCAGCCTCCAACTAGACTCAGCGCCGCTGATGACAACCCTCTGAGTTCTGCCATTCAGCCAGTTCTCTATCCACTTCACTGACCACTCATCCAGCCCACACTTCCTCAGCTTCCCCAGGAGGATATCATGGGAGACTGTGTCGAAAGCCTTGCTGAAGTCAAGGTAGATAACATCCACAGCTCTCCCTTCGTCTACCCAGCCAGTCATGGACCAGGGTTTTCTCTAGTGAAGACATTCTGCCATTGACATCACCAAAAATCAGACAGTGTCTGCTGGCCACCTCTTTAGACTTTTTCTTGCAAAACCAGACACATTTGGATGGAAATAATGAGCTACACATCTCGTTTGTGATTTTGGCCTTACACAATATGCTTTAAAGCTGTATTAGCAAATAAATAAAATCAACAACCTTTAGGTGAAAGTGCTAATCCTGAGCCTGTATCATGCTAAACTCCTCTGCATTCACACTTTATACTCTCAGCTAAGCATGCAACCAGTCTCAAACTATGCCACGTTTAGGCAGAAACAACTGGAGTAAAAAAAGAAAGGCAAACATAGGTAACTACACCAAAATAAATGTTATAGATTAAAAAATATTCTAGAAATATACTTGCAATATTTTTATTATAGTATTCAGGGGTTAAGTGCTTTAGGCAATCAATATTTGGGATACTAGGCTCAAAGTGTAAATTCTATCATTTTAATTCCACTTTGGATCCAAGAACATATCACTGTCTTGTGCAAGCACACAACATGAATATGGCAGGGAATGATCGTACTCTTGGGCAAAGGGTTACTTATTCCCTTCACTTTGTAATTGTATTCACTTCTCAAGGAAGTCTAGCTTTTAAAAAATAATTTTATGTAGCTAAACTTCTACATAGTGATGACAGACAAAGAAGCTAAATTAATAACTCCATGAGTTCCTCAACAGCAGTATATAGCAGCATTTCATTTTATCATTGAAAAGGTACTTAGATTTACATACACCCTATTGTTGAATAGTTAATAGAAAACTAGAGATGGGCCTGAGCTGAAACTGCTGATTTGAACATCCCGGAGCTTTTCTGGGGAAGGTCTGCAGAACGTCATCTTCCTCTACCACCAGCCCAAACTCTACATCCCACTGACAGAACAACTGCAGACAGGAATGTGTCCAAAATCAAGGTCTGATTTCTGCAGTTCAGGCACATCCTTATATAAAACTGAAAGCATCGGTGTGTTGCAGTACCAAGGGATGTGACGGCCGGCATGCAGACACGTCCCAGAGAGCAACTGGGTTGGTGCCTGGGACTTACTCAGACATGGAGACCAAGTGGTGTCGAAGCCTGACGTCCAGAGAAGTAGCCAGGGTGGAAATTTGTCTTTCACTGCATCACTACTTTCAGCACAGAGGTAAATGGAGACATACATGTGGAGGTGTGACACGAAGGAAAGTTTTCAGGAGGTGGGGAACAGACCAGCATCTCGGCTAGTCTCATTGCCTTTATCCTAAGGGTTACTTACTGAGTGTAATCTGAGACCCTACGTGAAATGAATTTGGGTGGTTTCAGCTTTGCTTTAAGTGCAATCCACGTCACAGAAAATACAATACTAAGCTATTATGCTGAATTTGGCACGATTGGCAGTCTCTGCCCAGGGGAGGCAGAGACTGAGTTAACATGGGCACAACCAGCTTACCAGACCCTCAAAAGTGGTCGCCCAAGCCAGACCTACAATGTCCTTGGTGGGTCAGTTCAGGAGACTTGACACTTTCAGCAAACAGCACTAATCAGTGAATGAAGAGGACTTTGAAGGGCTGCTAGTCCTTTCAACACAATCCTGCCCAAATACTCACACCAAGATATAGAGAACATCTGTCCTGTAGGGGTTTCCCTGGGGAATCAGTGTGATGCAAACACAGAGAAATGTGTACAATTTCACAAACGAAGAACTTTTTAATGATAAAAAATAAAGTGTGATGCAAAAAAGGAGGCTGATTATGAAGTAATAATGGTCAAAGCACCTCAATAATACCGCTCTTTCAATAGCAATGCTAATTGCTAAAATCTTACATTTTGATTTCTTTCGTCTGAAAAGTCTTCAGCCACGGAAATTGCATAGTCATCAGACCACAGATGAATTTCTTGGGATAAGTCACAAGTTCATGCAATTTTTGGTTGCTTGATGGCTTAACAGAATTCTTTTTCCTATTTTAACAATGAAATAATGAGAGTAATAAGAATGAAGTTAAAGCACACAAAACTTCAGAGGCTGGAGAAGCATGTACGTGACACCTCCCACCTGTGACCCTCAGACCCACTTACAATAAGTTGCTGCCACTCTGGCAGATCACCTTCTCCTCGAAAGCAGCTTTTTTTGGACACTCAATTCAAACTGAAAAGTGGGGGGAAGAGAGGAAGAAGAAGAAGTAGGAGGCATCGCGACATCGCTTTCACGAGATGCAGCATGCAATGCTTGTGCCTTTTCGAGGCCTCTTCTCCAGGCAGCCTGGGTGGGCGAGTTTATCCTTCCCTGGAGAAGCAGCAAGCCTGAAGAGCAGCCTGACTTTCTCTTCCGAATCACTGATGCGTGCACTATTTCTGAAATGAAGTCCTTGGCCACAGAGCTCCTTTCGCTGCCTTATTTCACCCACCTTGCATACTCCATGTGTGTGCTTTGACAGTTCACCACCTCCTGCGCCTTGGTGGGGTTTCGGGGATTATACAACCGCATTATTATCAACTGTTCTGTTGTTTTGGGAGGAGGTCATTGCATATTCAGCCTGACTGGTTCCGTTCTCTTCTTTTCTCATTGGTTTCCTTGGGTGATCCCAGGTTCGGTGATGTATAGGCAGGGTGGAGGGAGAAGAAAGAACAGAGATAAACATCTTCTTTGTCAATACAGGTTTAAAGCAAGGACATGAAAGGTGCATCATAACACTGAACTTTTCATCTCTATTTTCCCTTTCTGAACACAGGTCAAACCAGCAGTTAAATTTTGTCAAGCCTCGTGATCCACCTGGAAGATGAGGAGTCTGCTCCTAAGCCATGTTGATGGGCTGTTGGTCTCCCCGTGCTAGCCTGTGTATAGATAGATGCAGGCGTGCATGTTGCATGAGACAAAGGCTGCTGGAAGGAGAGCCCTCCACCACCACCTTCATGCCTGGAACAGAGGTTTGGGTGCTGGCTCAGATTCTGCCTTGGGGCAGTCCTGGGCCTCTCTTCTCAAAGTGCAACGTCATTCAGACCGGGATGATGACCAGTTGTGTCCACTGAGGACCCAACTCACCAGTCATCATAAAACCACTGTGTTTGGTCACTAGAAGAGGACTCATCTGACCAGTGTAGATACGCACATCTGTGGTGACCATCTCAAACTACCTTCACAGTCAATGAAGAGAAACAGGTACTTTCAAAGCACAGTTCAGTACAGTGGATACCCAAAATAAGTCAGATGCTTTGCGCCCAAGGCATTCATGTTGCTCCGCACTGTCTGTGAAGGAAAACTAGTTCCCTAGCTCAGACACAGATCCTCATGTTCTAGGTGTCTGAGTTAGTGAAACACAGTGCTTGCTGTGATCTACCAGTCCCTCAGCGTCAACCACTGAAGGATCCCTTTTTATTTTGTTTGGTGGCCACTGGCACTATTTGGTAACGCAGGCCAGGACCACCAATGCCAAGAGTGAGGCAATTCAGGAGACATCTAACTAGTGCAGAAATCTAACAAGCATCTGCACATCACAGTTGATCATCTTATTTGGGATTTTAAAGTGACTCTGAAAAGGAAGACCTGAGCATAAGTCCATGTAACATCATGTGTTTCCCCCACAACTTCTCTCCTCAAAAATGGTGCAATCTTTATTTAAAGCTGAAGCTGTACACATAGTAGGAGGAAAAAGCTTTGTGCTTTCCACACAGATATTTCAGACATTAGTGCCTTGAGTTTAAGATGTTTGCTTCTAAGGGCAAAAAGAGGACCAGATAAACAAATGTAATACAACAGTCAGTCTGTGCAATTGTTCTTGACATCATTTGACAAAACAAACAACAATTAATAAAAAATAGTTAATGACATTTAAATTCAGCAAAGTATTAGTGAAAGATTTATGGGGAATGATTACAAGAAGATAAATTTGTTTTGCTTGTAATTTCAAACACAACACTTCTGATAGTGATATCTTACGCAGCTCTTTGGCTGGTAAGAGTTAAGGCTGGTTAATATTAGCTGCGATTCCAGCTGTTAGAGAATGGAAATGGAAGGGAAAGGGAGACTAAGAGCTTTGTTGAATCCTTTTCAGCCATTAACATGCTGTGCCTGTCTGTATCTGACACAAGCTCCTGCGGCTCTGTCTTTCATGGCATTGTAAAGCACACATGCATCCCACCACATCCCTGACAAGAGGAATGGAGAATCTGATGGCAATACTTCTCTGATTTTTTCCTGGGCAGGAAAAATTATGTGGCTGTCTTTAAACTTCTCTGCTGCTTTCAAAAATTTTCCTTTTTTTTTCCTCCCCCCACCCCATTCCAACCCTGACAATGAATGATTAGAAAATGAAGACATTTCGGCCACTTCTACTTGCCATCTGTTTGTCTGCTGTTAACCTATTCTTTCTTTCTTTTGGTCTCCTATGTGTTTCTGCACCTCTGCAGTTCCATTTCCCTTCCCCTTCCCTGTCTAGCCTTCCTCTTCTCTCTTCATGTTAAAAAATGTCTTCCTCTCATTTTTCTCTCCCTTTTTCCTTTTTCTAGAAGTGATTTCAAGACTGACTTCTTCAGTCCTCCTGAAACTCTTTTTCATTTCCTCCTCCTTTTTTTGTGCTTCAGTTTCTCTTCCCAAGAGCAGCCATTTGCTCCTTCCCCTCCCCAGGCTGGTCTCCCAGCACAGAACTGGGAGGCTCGGAGACTCTCCACCCATGGTGAGACCGTCTCTGGAGACACTGCTGGAGAGGTTGCTGGTGATATTACACCACTGGCACTAGCATACATTGAAAGTGTGTTTTTTGAGAGCCTGCAAAGAGTGGAATAGAGATTTTATCAGTGTTCTGCATCTGCCTTATCAATTGCTCAGGGTTAGTGCCAGCAAAACAGAGCAACTACTTTCTTGGGTCTCAACGAAATGGCTATTTGAGGCATTTGTTTATTTATTGGCAGACACAAAAGCTCAGGCTTGCAGACTGCTCTGTTGAACTCCTTCACTCAATTTGTTTCCACACGCATCTCAGGCATGGATTTGGGGACAAACCTGCCTCAGTTACACCATTTAAATCACTGGCTTGGCAGACTTGTATGCACTTGTCACAGTGATTAAAACTGACCTAGGTATTTAGCTATGCAAAGTCATTTTGGCCTGTTGCAATTGTTGAACTGCCCTTTTGCATTAGGGCGCTAGATCTTTTTGTGGCAGTAGTTCTGTGTGCCACTTGCTTTTTTTTACCTCAAATTTCCTTGACTGTTGAGACCTAAGCATGCAAGTTCTCCTCTTACACACCAAGGGGAACCCTCTTCTCCTATTTTCTGCCTGATAAGCTAGGTTATGCATGATCTTCCTACATGTAATACTCCAGGCCCTCTTTCACCTGAAGTGCAGTGGCCCTGTATTTATGCATTTCCATTCTAGGGTTGCTTTTCATTGGTGAGTGTTTCAAATTAGTGAGGGAATGAGGAGGGAACTATTTGTATTTGACATACTCACTTCGTGGCAGGCAAAACGGGCTGTTCGCTAACAAGTGGTTTGCATTGCTTTACAGCATGATTTGCTACACATTGTTCTTTGATGTCTAGCAAACAAATCGGTGCACTCTTCACGTCAAACATCTGCTAAGGAAAGGTACATGCACCTCTGTACAGCTTAGTACACGCCTGAAATGATGCGTCAGAGTCCATAATGCCCTCTCCACCGTGCATGCATTAATTTGCATGAGTCCTAAAATCAAGAAAGCATCGAACAGCCATTTAACAGCGTATTTCACAAGTCAAGCTTCAATTTCAGATGATGTTCTGCTCACATTATAAATCTTATTTATCAAATAAATTCATATTGGCTTGTCATATTGGCTTGTGCCACTTCTCTGCAGAGTCCTCTGTAAAGGTCGACAAAATGGCGCACATCCAAACACAATTCTTAAGTTGTGTTTAAAAATTTCTTAGAGGAGAGACAGTTTTTGGCCCTTGATCACGTCTAGTTACAAAACTCAGTTGATCTATTTGACAAAACCCTCCCTGCCAGCTTTGAATACCGGTGTAAATCTGGCAGAGAGCTACTGTCTGCAAGGCAGTTGTGTGGTAGAGTACTAGGGGAGGGTTTCACCTTGTGTCTCACTTGTACACACTTAGGGCACTTAAGGAAATCTCTACATATGATTTCTCAGATAAAATCAAGCAAAAGCTGAGAAGACTATGTATTTAATCAGGACTTTATTATGCCTTGTTACTTACAGGCTTATTGAAGCTTTGAGGAGAATAAGATCAGCTAGAAATAAAAGTTTTGTCCAGAAGAGTAACTGCAACAGAATCTAAAAGACACAACACAATCCACATGCTCATACTCTTCAAAGTGCTTTGTGTTTGGAAGGGATGAGAGTTAAGCATAAAACCTGATTTCATAAGACAATCCTGAGCATTACAAACCTGTTTCCTACTGCTTACCTCCGTAGCAATGTCTCTGTTGAGTGCCAGCGCACCATGGCCAGCATCTGGGAAGTTTGGGTCCTGCGGAAACCCAGCCAAGATAGGTGGGGGTGGCCTTGCACTGGCAGCAAATAAATGAGGGGATCTTAAATTCATCTCCTTCTGGGGCCCCCATACATGACTCGGCACTGCCAGGAGATGCCTGCCTCCACTTGGGATTTGCTGCCCTGGATTATCCTCTGAAGGTAACACCTACTATTCTGTTTCTTACAAAATGAGAATAGAGTGTCATTCCTCCTTTAAAATGCAGTGAGAGGAGGAGAGGCCACTTTGCCCTCCCTGCTGTGCGTAGCTGGAGGAGCTGCCCAGGGCTC